ATCCTGCCTGGAAACACGCTCAAGCCAGGCAATAAAAGCATCCAGCCGAAAGAAATTAGCTATGGCTGCTTCCACGGCGAGAAATACAGAATACAAATGTTCTCTCACAGAGAAGGAATTTGGGAAAAGTAAGTTTTTAAGTTTCGGGGGAAAAAAACCTCAAGCAACAACAACACAACTTTCATAGCTTGGTTATAATAGCTAGATTACATGCAGGGAAGAATAGATGTCTGAATCACAGAAAAAAGCAGATTTGCAGGAAAAGGTCTGAAGAAAATCAGATAAACCTTCAGCTTGAATAACTTATTTGGTTTGCTGTTACTGAGCACATCCCTAGACAACTGAAATTTGGATGCTATCATGATATGTTGATAGAAGGCTGGATCACACATAATATATGAATATTCTTAGATGTTTCTATTTTCAGCACTTATTTCACTGAAGGAAAACATATGCACAGAGTTCTTCAGGAGCTGCAACTACTAACATTAGTTTTCCTTTTAGTGACAAGACAAATACTGTTAACTAGCATTAAACAACAAGCAAAAAAATTGTTGATTCAAACTGTATCTTAAAGTTATATGGGAAAGGTAGTTAAAGTATAAATCAAACCTTCCCCTCCCAATCCACCCCCCCAAAAATACACCTGCTCAGGACAACACATTAGTAGTATTTGTTTAAAATGAAGCTAAATGCTATCCTACCTCATAATCAGTTCAGTTTTAGAATTTTACTTCCTTGGAGGTTTTGTGGGTTTGGGCTTTTTTTAATCATTATTTTTCCAGAATGGAAATGGCCATTTTTATTTCTTTATTTATTTTAAAGCTGGTGCTTGATCTTAAGCCATAAAGAATTTATAGCTATGTAAAATTAACTGCAAAGGAAAACAACTATACTTATTTTATTTATGTATATAAAAGGGTTTAACTCCAATTCATTTTAGAACAGTACGCTAACACAAAAATTTATTATTTTAACACAGACACTTAGAAAATGCGTAGAACTGTTTTGTATTATTAGCCAGTTTTCTTGTAGAAAAAAAATAAGGAAGAAAGAAAACTCTCATCTTTCTTCTATTTCACAACTGTCAGTGTCCGGGCAGATGGCAAGGACAAAATGTAATTTAGTCAGAATTCATTAAGTACAATTAGGCAATTTGATAGCAATATAAAAGATTAAGATGGACATCTGAGCTAGGAGGTGTCAAAGACGGCACCTGTTTGCTTCGTTCAAAAATAATGAAGAAAGAAAACCATCTTTGTTAACAGCTACTCTACTGGCAAAGTAAGTTACCTGAAGAAACAGACCTTTGCGATACAATGCTGTGCTATGGTTGCACATGAACAGTCATGTAGAGAAAAATCTATTGCTCTGCCTGGTAAAAATTAGCTAACATTGATGTGATTAAAGTGATTCAGATCTCAAACAAGGTATAATTTTAAAAAAAAAAAAAAAAGCGCACCTAAAACCTCCTAAACTTCCAATGCTACCATTTCTGTTTAGTTTCTGTTATAGAAAAAAACTGAATTGGAAACACTTGTTTTGTTGATTTTTTGGAAGGGCATCTATCATTACACTGGTTGTCATGACACGTAATACTTACGTAAATTCTGTCCTTACTGTACCGAACTTTGATATTGTGAAGCAGAGTGGCCTCATTTAAATACATAAGGGAACCTGCAAATAAAAGACAATCATATACCATTAAGAGCTCAGGACTACCTTTGTGTACAACCGAAAACCGAAACCTTCGGATTAAGGAGAATTTTACTTACCCTCTCTTTGGTTACAGTTTAATCCTATCAATCATTTCTTTATGCTGTCTTAAGGCAGAACTGCTGACTCAATATACGCTGCAAAACCCCTAGACCTGCTCTTTACTGTACAACTGGAGTTACAGAAATAAGCTCCCTTTCACCAGCCTCAGGCAAACACAGTGCAATTCCCTCCGTGCCGGACCTTAAGTGCAGAAACCGGTGCCTACCAAAATCCCTAACACCGACTTTTTTTCCCTTCCTCCCTTCCAGCTCCCCTCTCCGATCTCAGCCACAGCATCCCCAGGGTAATGCCGCCTATCTGACGTTCAGAATAACTGCTGACTCCTGGTGATTTTTAGATGTTTATATTCAATCAGGAAATAATCTCTAGAGGCGGCAGCAGGCATCATTGCAACACCAGGCACCAATGCAACCTTTCGTGTTTCGATTCTGAATTTTGTTGCTACTAGGCCTCCTCAAAGAAACTGCTGGGGAAAAAAAATGTTAACAAAACCTAGCTTTATTTTTCTCCTTAGCTCGTTAATATAAAATACCCCAAGCAACTCTGCTGAAAAGTTACAAGGCAGCAGCTCAAGGCAGCAAGCGGGCACCCACAGAAAGCTTCAAACCATACAGGTTCACACTGTGGCAAAGCTGGTCCTTGTTTTCTGCTGTAAAGCACTGGAAAACATTAGCAGCCTTAATTACAGAGGTTATTACCAGTTCCCATTGTAACAATATTAAAAACATTATCCCTAAAACAACTGAGTGCACTACTCATTACACAGCCTCAGTTTTCAAATATGCTCAATCCTCTTTTTCTCACCGCTTAAAATTCAAGTGTGCAACACTACTTACCTAGTTGCAACTGACTGACTACCAAACTGGTAAACTTTACAGTATTAGTACCACTTAAAAAGTTGTGTACATCTGACTGCTACTGATGGATTAAGCACTATGCCTGTAATGGTAACTGCTACCCTGCATCTCTCATCTATAATGACCAACAAAGTTGTTTCTCAAGTTGGATTGATGCCCCTTCTCAAGGGCTTCAGCAGAGAAAAATGTATTCCAGCTTATTTACACAACTGTGCAAGAAGGGCTGCCAGTTCTTATGACCTAAAGTCAAGCTGCCCAGCCATCTCGCCCTGCAAGGATGTCTGAAGCACAGTAAGCAACTCTTAAATTCTCCTTCAGAGAGAATTCACTCCTCCTGAAAAAAAGCAAAGGATAACGGGAGCTTCTCAGCAGCATCTGTGTTTTCATTTTCAATCTTTTACCCTTCTTCCCACAGTGGACAGAGGAGCAGCTGTGGCTCTGCCTCCTACCACCAACACCAGCCCGGCCTGAAGCAAATCATAGAATCGTAGAATGGTTTGGGTTGGAAGGGACCTTAAAGGTCACCTAGTTCCCAACCCCCTGCCATGGGCAGGGACCCCCTCCACTAGACCAGGCTGCCCAAAGCCCCATCCAACCTGGCCTTAAACACTTCCAGGGATGGGGCAGCCACAGCCTCTCTGGGCAACCTGTTCCAGTACCTCACCACCCTCACAGTGAAGAATTTCTTCCTAACATCTAATCTAAATCTACCCTCCTTCAGCTTAAACCCATTACCCCTTGTCCTGTCACTACACTCCCTCATAAACAGTCCCTCTCCACCTGCCCTGTAGCCCCCCTTTAGGCACTGGAAGGCTGCTATAAGGTCTCCCCGGAGCCACCTTTTCTCCAGGCTGAACAATCCCAACTCTCTCAGCTTGTCCTCATAGGAGAGGTGCTCCAGCCCTCTGATCAGCTTCATGGCCCTCCTCTGGACTCTCTCCAACAGCTCCATGTCTTTATTGTACTGGGGCCCCCAGACCTCG